TGGAAAGAATCTCACCTCCCATTCAGTTCAAGAGTAAATTATAAACACAAGTGAAAGTTTCAGGAACTTCCAATAAAGCAGTCAAAAGCCAAGGACCTCTCACCCCATCACCTTAAAACTGATTGGGTTAATAGGTTCCCCTTGTAATCCAGAGAGTGAATGTACTAACATGGGAAATGTATTGAATTTCAACAATTTGAACTATACAAAAACCTCTGCACTTCTAGCTAGAAACTTGTTTTACTAAGATTATTTACAAGTTATTTGTAATAGCTGAGTTGAAGGGTTTCTGTTCTGTTAATATGGAGTCGTATTGGGCAGGGGCGTACCTAGGGGCGGATCCTGTGCTTGGCACCCCCTTGCCCCCTAAAAGCCCCGCCCCCAGTACCAGTTTGGCTCCACCTCCAATTTTGCTTAGCTCCGCCCCACTTTTCCTCCGTGCGGCCAGTTTATCAGCTGTTTGCTTGTGTGAGCTGTACTGGCCGCACGGCACCCTAACTACCATGGGACACTGTGCGGCCACAGCTCACACAGCCCCCTCCAGCCAGGGCGGTGCAAGGATTTTTGCCGCCCTAGGCAAAAGTAAAGTTTGCCGCCCCCCCCCATGTGACATCACAATGCCCCACCCATATGATTTGCCATGTTAACTAACGCCAGTGCTGCAGTGCCGCCGTGTTTACATTAAAAGGCCTGCAGGGACAGGCTATAGACACCAGAACCACTACATTAAGCTGAAGTGGTTCTGGGGACTATAGTGTTTCTTTAATGTGAGGTAAATTAGAGCTTAGTGCCACAAATAATATACTAGATTGCCTACTTACAACCAGATGAGGATGATGATGGGCTCTAGCTGCAGTCTGGCTCCACTGGTCTGGTGTAGAACAGGCTCTCTGGAGGCTGTTTGTAACTGTGGTCACAAAATTCAATGTTCTGGGAGAACAGGAAGCAGCTCCATTTTTTGGGGGCCCCTTACACAGCTCAAGGTCTGGGTCCCAGGCTGCAGCATGAGGGGGGCTGGCGCTCCTGGCGGCGCCCCCTCCCAAGGCACCCCCCACCCTGGTGGCACCCGGGGCGGACCGCCCCCCCCCGCAGTACGCAACTGGCATTGGGACACAGATAAAGAGGGGCTTTTTAAATTTTTACTATTGAACAACCTTTGAGTCTTTGTATTTGTTCTAAGGAGACATTTTATGCACCACGAGAACTTGTGGATACATCGTTATAACATTCGTCATCCTTCATCAGCAGGAGATCGAGTGGTGGAACAGAACACATTACACTTGTGTATTCAAAGGGCACCCAGAGTAAAATAAGTGTGGCTGGGGGTATTTACAAACCAAACTGTCACCCAACCAGTCTGGTAGACCACCCCATATGGAATCTGACTCTGTTACGTTATTGACTGCAAAGCCCCAGTTTTTATTTTATTTAACCATTCATTATTACACTGCCTGATGATAGAACAGCATTCATTTTTTATGTGGTCTTTTGGACCCAAAACACTCAGAGTTTTTTACTAAAGTGAAATTGTTGGTAATTCAAAGTGAATTTCTAATTTGAGAACAAAATAACCCAAATCATGGTGCTGCAGGACAACCTCTGCCTCTTCTCGCGCTCTTCCTCTAATTCCTTTCCATCTTTGTCATGCTTTACATATCTCCGGTTTACAAATTGTTTAAAAACACCACATATTCCCCCATATGGGTGCCTTGTAGCTACAGGATCAGCCAGATAAGAACTTTATAAATATCGACCCTCCATTTAAAAACCCTCTACCATTATGCTTACAACGATATGATCTTGCGCCACAGCGCCTAAAAGTCCCTACTCCTCCATAAACCAACAATAGCCCAAAGTCAGAGCCAGGCATCATGCCCCTTGAAGGAGCCCTGACTAGCGGGCAAAGCAACATCCTTATTAATAGGACTGTACAAGACGCTGACTCTGTTAATTAATTGTGCCTTTAGACACATATATTACCTACTCTTACTATTGGTTATACTTCAGTTTTGAATCATGTTTACCTCTCAGTATTTTGTCTTAAAAATGCAAAAACAAAGAATCTTTAAAAAATAATAACCCCAAACCGGCAATGCCTCCAGTTTTAGCTACATTGGCTTTAAATTTTAAATTCATTTTGACTTTCCGACACACTCACTTTAGTGAATAACTCTGTTTTATTTAGTTTAGTTATTCACTAGCAATAACCTACTTGCAGTTGCCTTTCATGTTTAGAGGAGCTCAAGGTGGGTTGCAGGATGCAGACAATTTGTTTATCACTCATCAAAGCTGTGCACATGGACAAGTCGATGGCATTAGGATTGTGGAAGCTTGAGGAACATACAGGGTTAAAGTGTTCTATCATTCCAACAATAAGTCTTTAGTCATACCAGATAAATCATTAGTGAGGATGAAAGGCCCTCTACAAAGGAACTGTGTAGATGATGGCTTGAATGGACAGATGACTAGATGATGAGATGTAATTTTTTTCTTGTACGTTTAAAATGATCAGGTCTAACAAAAGCACCACAGCAGACAGTTACATCCAGACACAAACAAAAAAGGACTGCTGTTTGCAATGTATCAAAGTGCTAAACTGTTCCACGGAGCATTGAGTGATCATTACGCAGAGCAGGGAGTTATCATGCAGACATTGTTTGATGATTTCCAATCTACCCAGTCTGTACGATCACAAACAGACCTTCCAAGGGGGATCAAAATAAATCAAAGCCAACAACCAACCACCTGCTTTTAGGATGTTGAATAATGTACTGGACCTTAGCTTCTTTACATAGATTTTGATGGCTCAATAAACCTGCTTTGGGAATAAAACATTTAGTTCCTTATAATTACCTGGCTTTCTATTGTACCGCCCCAGTATTATTATAGATATACCCTTTTTTGTGTTCCAGGTACAACCAGAAACTGCATTAAGCTGGAGATCTGTATATTATTTTTACCAATGTTGTCTTTTGAAGGAACATTCATGCAGTTTATGAGAGAGATCTAACTACAGCTGGTTTATATTCATTGTATTTAGCAGTGACTGAGCCAACTGAAAGAAAAGAAATGACATACAATATAATATTATATATTGAACGATCAGTGTATTTATGCATTTCAGATCATTCCTGGCTGGATTTAGAATTGATCAGAAAAGGCGTTCTGTGTGTTTTTGTTTTAAATACTCTGCTGATGACGAAGGTTTATGCGGTTTAGATATGTGTTAATTTAGATTTGTAAAGTACAATGCGATTTTCAAGAGCTTTGTATTTTATGCACGCATGTCTGTGATTTTACCATAAGAAGTCTCTGGATAGGTTTGTCCACAAAGATTTGTGTGAAAATTGCACTGAATTTGCTCAGAGGCAATGTTGCATTCGCAAATAAAGATTTTGAGAACAAAAATGTTTACAGTGAGAATATCTGCGAATTCAAAGTAATTTTCAACTTTAAGGTCAGAGTACCTAGAAGCATAGCGGACTAGGACAATTTAGGCAGTTTTGCTTCTTTGACCTTAAGATATTCACTTTGAATTCCCAAAATTTAGCACTTCTGTTAATAAACCCGATAGTGTAAATTTGTAAAGGCGGAGAGAATGATCATAATGCCATGGGTTGCAAGTCATGTCAAACTTGCAGAGCTGATTGATATTCTAATCTGAATTAACACATTGGCCTGAATTGCTTCCTGTATGATTAACACAGGTTCTTCTATAGGATGTGTGCCCAAAAAAAATCCTCCAGATGTTTTAAAACTACAGCTTCCATGATGCTTTGTCATTGTAAAGGTATGCAAAGCATCAAGGGAGTTGTAGTTCTACAACATCTAGAGATCTACAGGTTATATTCATTTATGACCATATTAACAGTTATTTGAGAGAAGAACCGCATTGTCTGAGTCAGAATTCTAAAACATTTCAGTTGGTTACTGACAATTCACAGTTAAGTAAATAACCCTGTCTGTGTAGTTATTTAAGAGAAGACACATGAAATGCATGGCAATGTGCTTTGTATTTGAAGAGTTAACCTAGTGCTGAATTAAGTAAATGTAATCAGATGTCTGCATCTTTTAAATGCGTTTTTCCAACTGAACATGTGTTCAGGGGGAAGCAGGAAAGACAAACTATAAATGAAACACAATTTGTTCAAACCATGAAATTCTAGAGCAATGTGTGTGATGAAAGCATCCTGTTTTCTAAGCAGTATCTGAATATTCCAAGGTAATCAGATGGCTGAGTACCTAGAACTATTTGCATTTTGTTAACACACCATATGGAAGGCTTATTCTAGCGAGATGTGTGCACCAAAAATTCACAGGCATTATCCTCTCTTAATGTCAAAAAACTACTGAAAATGAAATATCCTGGCAAACATTCAACGAGCCTCCAAAAGCAAATGAACAATCTTCGTGTCTGATGACAGTTGATGGCTTAGTGAATAACCAGAGAAATCGTAATAAGTTCTCTAACCTGCAATCATAGTTATTCACCAACTGCATTACTGGGGATTTGTAGAAAACAGATTTTTCAAAATGGGATTAATTTTACCAACATTTCACAGTTCCCTTGTCAGTTCTCCAGTACATTCTGGAAAGTTGAATTAGTTGGTAGGGGTTTATAAAAAGGCTCCTTTTTTTCCCCTCAGAGAATTTACTTTTTGGTTGAAAGCAACAGGGTGCCTTGAAGCTGGTACGTTGTTTGAATTCGCACCCAGACATGGCTGCCAGAAGGAATGTTTCAGGTAGCTGTGAAACACCTTGTAGTGAGAGAAGAGAAAGCCGTGCATGCTGTGTTAGGACTGTGGGTTACAGCCCCTGGGAAACAAACAATACAAGTCAATGGGCTACAAGCTGAAGACCCTAGCTACACTTTTCTTTAAATGCAGTTTCACACGCTGCATCAGCTTCATACAAAATAATAAAATTAAAAAAAACTGGAAAAGGGTGCATCCACCTAATGAATTTTAATGTGTTTAATAAGTCTGTTCGGGACGTGCTGCCATGTAACAAAGCAATGCTTAAATAATTTTGTCAAACATTTCACTAACAGAAAAACAACCGTTTTGGTCTGATTAGGTGTGCCCTTGATGCTTTGCATGCCTTTAAAGAAGAAGAAAAAAAGAAGTTTCCCTTTTCTTTATTTAAAGAAAGCAAAAAAACACATATCCATATATAAAATACAATTACAAAAATGTGTAATGTTTGCACGGTTAACCTGAAATTAAACAAATTAGTAGAAACTGGTTTACACATGGAGTAAAAAAAAGAAAAAAAGTATAAAAATATTTATATGAATGGGAAATAGATTGAAAATGCATAATTATTTTGGTTTTCTTTTTAGCAGTCTTTTCTCAATTGTAATGTAAAAATATTAAATGCAAGTAGCTTATATTTAATAACTCAATAAATATATACATTTAAAAAAAAAAAAAGTCGGAACCAGTGCCTTGAGTTTACTGGATCTGTAATTCATCTAAAATCTTCATTGACAATTCATACACGGCTCTGTAATGACACAGAAAAAAGAATTACAAATAGAACACAACAGAGGGGCATTAAACATGCAATAAAGCTAAAAAAAATGCAACTTTAACAATGGGCTTCAAATCCTACTTGGCATACAATCTGCCTTTCGACTTGCAAATCGCTGATAATTCAATAGCATATCAAAGACAAAAGTCTGGCATACAATATATTTCTCTAGAGAGAATTCAGAAAATCGATTTTGAGACCAAAATACAAAGCTAGAAACAACTTATAGGTGGGCCATATCAGGTTAAAGGAGCACTCCCATCTCCATTGCAACTTAAACGGACATCAGAATCAAATCAGTCCTCAGAGTCAGAAGTGAGGGGAACTTCACAACTTTTCAACTAGCCACAGCCTGAGTGTCTCAGGTTTCAGCTGCAGAGTGACTGAACACTTCAAGGAAAATGGTGGGTATGTGCTATACTCTGCCCTTGGGTTTTTACGTCCAAGATGCATTATCTTGCACTTATCCACATTAAATGTCAGTTGCCACAATTCTGACCATTTTTCTAGTTTACCTAAATCATTTGCCATTTGGCTTATCCCTCCTGGAACATCAACCCTGTTACATATCTTAGTATCATCAGCAAAAAGACATACCTTACCATCAAGACCTTCTGCAATATCACTAATAAAAATATTAAAGAGAATGGGTCCAAGTACAGATCCCTGAGGTACCCCACTGGTGACAAGTCCAAGCTTCAAATATATTCCATTAACTACAACCCTCTGTTGCCTGTCACTCAGCCACTGCCTTACCCATTCAACAATATTGGAATCCAAACTTAAAGATTGCAGTTTATTGATAAACCTTCTATGTGCAACAGTGTCAAAAGCCTTACTGAAATCTATGTAAGCAATGTCTACTGCACCACCCTGATCTATTATTTTAGGCCAGGCTTGTCCAAAACTTGCAAGAAAGCTTCTCCAAATAACTACCACTTTTGCCCCCTAAATACAGATCCAGTGATGTGGATTGCTTGACAGGTAGGAGAAGGACCAATGCATAGATGAATTGTAAAACACTTAAAGGACAACAAACTTTACAAGTATTATTTTTAGTATAATTATCCTTTCATCAAGTTTTGAAAGGAAATTTTACATACATGCAGCTTAGGTCAGACAGTGTATGTATATGGCTGATGGATCCTGAATTATACTAAAAAGGTAGGGATGAAGAAATAAGAAAAAACAAACATGTTTTAAAACTTAAAAGGATTAGTAGACAATAGTTTTAAACGTAAGTGGTGTGTATCATGATAGGAACACTAAACAGCGAACTGCTAATCACTGATCCTTTTACCTTTCTCTGCTTTCAGCATCATCCATTGTGACTTCACCAAAGTTTTTCAGTTTTCTATAGATTGATGAAGCTAGATCTTTAACTGCCGGTGGTATTCGATTACCTATTTGAATACAAATAGAGCGGTTATCATTTAAACACATCCCTCCAGGCAGGGAAGGTGTGTGCACGTGTGACTTCATACATGTATAAATGAACAGTAATTTTCCCATACAAAGCAATACATAAATCAGACACTTTAAATACTTTTCAAAGGGTGTTATTTCTCGGAGTGCCCTCTGAGCCAAGTGTCCTTTCTTTAAAAAGTGTACCATTTGAATGTATGAAAACATTTGCATTGCTGTGAGATCAGTCTCCGGTAACAATGTGTGTAAAGGTTTGATTTAATTCCCTCAATTACTGCCTCCACTGACAAGTACTGTGAATTATGATATTGCTTATCTATTTTCCTATCTGCTCCAGGAGGGAACAAGGGGTTGTGAGTGATTGGATACAGAGGTGAGGGATTGGGGGATATGTCCTGATGTGAGCGTATGTGCGCCCATAGTCTGATCGTGGGGGTGATGGTAGGATGTGTGCCATGGTGTAGTAGGAAAGATCCTACCTTGTGCCATGGGATTGTGTAGATCTGTGTTCTGATATAGGCGGCTTCCAGTTTCACCCATTACTTATCTGAGTGTGGGTTGCACCATTGTATACTCTAGTGAGCAGAGTTGCTTTGTGGTATAATTCCACATCCGGGAGGCCCAGCCCCCCCTCATCTTTTGGTCGTTTAACCCCTTAAGGACAAAACTTCTGGAATAAAAGGGAATCATGACATGTCACGTGTCCTTAAGGGGTTAAGAAGTGAAAAGGATAATCGGTGTTTCTTATTGGCCCATATGTAGGTGGTGAATAACTTGTGGAGGATATTGAAAAAGTGTTTGGACAGGTAGATGGGTAGGACTTGCAGTAAATAAAGGATGCGGGGTAGCACATTCATTTTTAGAATGCTTATTCGGTAAAACCATCCAAAATGGGGCATGTTCCAAGACTTAAGGTCCGTAGTTATTGTTTGGATCAGTTTGGGGAAGTTGAGATCTGAGAGATGTCATTTGGTATGTGTACCCCTAGGTAAATGGATAATCCTGTTGTAGTTGTTCTGCAGTTTGTGAGGGAAGTGTGATCGGGATGATTTCACATTTGCTTAAGTTTGCCTGAAAGAAAGTTTACTGTATAATGTCATTTCCCTCATGATATGTGGGAAAAAAAATATGGAGGGATGTGAGATTGCGAAGAGCATATCATCTGCAAATGCGGCTATCTTGTGGATTGTGTTTCCTACTTGGATCCCATGTATGTGCATCTCTCTGATCCCCTGTAAGAATGGTTCCTGGACCAGTACAAATAGCAAAGGCGACAGAGGGCACATATTAAAAAAGAAGCTTATCTGTCATGTACACTCTCCATACAGCCCAAACACCCTCAGGCCTTCACTTCTGCATGGGAATTGGAGCTCAATATTACCATACCACCTGATAGGTGGCGCAAAATCTTTAAAAATATTCACAAAACATCTAGAAACACAGAGACCCAAGAGAGTAACTATAAAAGAATAGTTAGATGGTTGTGTACACCAGCGAGACTAAGAACCATATTCCCCCAATCCTCTGATCAATGTTGGAGATGCCATCAACCCTCAGGCATAGCATCACATCTGGTGGTCCTGCCCAGAAAAACAAACCTATTGGAGGCGCATTTCTAGCCTCATACAGACGATACTGGGGGAAAAACTGACCCCCAACCCCAGATTCTTTCATCTTCCTTCTCCCACCACCAAACTTTCCCAAAGAAAAAACTCAACTACTCCTACATTTGATAACAGCGGCAAACCAATTGATCCCTATATACTGGAAAGAAAAAAAAAAAAAAATCAAACCCGCCGCCCATAAGAGATTGGATCCAAAGAGTGGAAACCACTAGGAATATGGAGGAAATTTGCTACTCCCTCTCAGACAGATACCACTCTTACACATCTATCTGGTCGTGGTGGTGCACATACCTTCAGCAATCCCCACGAGGGGGGATCCTACACGCATCCTTGGGCAAGCTAACAGAAGGGGAAAACTTCCAACATACACTCCATACCATTCTACCAGGGTTATCGTTGTTCTTTGTTTTTGTATTTACTAAACACATCTTGTTTCACAAACCATACAGACAATTGTTATCAACAAATTCTTGTTTTCTATGTATTTGACGCATACAGATAATTGTTACTTCTCAATATTCTATGTATACAAAACAGTGATATCTGTACCATGACTTTATGCAAAAAAATAAATAAAATAAAAAATCAGACACTTGACGGATAGATCGGGGCAGAGTTGGAGAGAAGAGAGAGCCTCCAAGCAAACCATTTTTAAATGCGTTATCTAGAATACTATAATTATATTACATTTATAGACTGTCCCTTTAAAGTATTTAACATGGACATAAGTTATTTAATGTAAATAGACACAGGGAACTTAATCTGGAAGCAGTTTGTGTAACTAAAGCACTATAAGCTAGATTTTATTTATTTTTTTAGTCAAATTATCAGTATTAAATTGTGAAATGGGGATATGGATCACGCGGGGATGACACTGTTGAATATTCCATTTTGGTTTATGAAGCAAACAAGGCAGTCACTGGATTATCAGAGGGAATGTGTGTCCAGTAAAAACCACTGCAGGATTTTACTTGTTATATATCGGCATAAACGAGCAAGGCTATCACATATATCCACTTAAATGCAAACGTGTTTTACAGTGTTCACAGAGAAATTAATGGAGAATTCAAGAAGAGAAATGCCCAAAAGGCTGAGATCTGCCTGGATCACCAGTAAATAGTCTCATGGTACAATGAGGGTCACCTAGGAAAACCAGAGGTTTGTGAATTTTCTTCTTGATGTTCAATCAATCAGTCTTCATGATGCTGGCTGTGCTTCCTGAGAAATTTAGTTAAACATCTGGAATGGTTGGCAGCAGTTATTACAGGACAGCTGGATTCCAGATACCAGCAGCATGTGCATCGTTGTAGACAAACCATCAATTTGAATCCATCATCCAGACACCTTTACATAGATTTCTATATTCCACTCCTTGTACAGTCCATTCCTGACCTTTGTAAGATTGTTTCTAATATCCAACCATAGTATTGCACAATTTATCTACACACGATTAAAGACTACACTACCAATCAAAAAAACGATATAAACAGAAACTAATTGTCTTACCTTTTCGGCTTACAAAAGCAATGTATAATGAGGCAGACAAGCCTAAAACTCCTTCAACTTCCTCTGATATAACGCAATCTGTTAATGCTGCTAAAAATGAACTAGAGAAAAGAAAAAACGTAAAATGGTATTTGTAAAACCAGAGCAAGCCAATACGTGCCTCACCATCAGTAGGTACACGTTAATTACTGTAATCCTAAACCATTCAAAATTATGTCTAGCTCAACAGGAGATTGTATTATTTTGGCAAATTCTTCTGAAAACAAAAGTTAATAGAGAAGCAGACTTCAACATACACCAAATTTAGCTCCAAATCATTATATGGTGTTTCTCTACATATTAACTTTTAGAGTTATTTACTAAAGTGGAAATTGCCAGGAATTCCAGATTTAAGGCCATAACGACTTCCCGTTTGCCTATTTTGGTCTAAGAATAGATATTTAGAATTCCCTAAAATCCTCACTTTAGTAAATATATTGTGAGAACATCTGTATCCAATAAACAAGGACACATACACATTTGTGTTACATGAACAAGCAGTAGTATGACGATTTAAATGGTGGAGGATATGCCCGATTCAGCAAGATTAATATGGGATTCATATGGCAGACAAATCATTAGTATGGTTATAACTGGTAAAGACTTACTTTAAAAGTCTGTGGGATTTAACCATAACAGACATTAAACACCTTGACAGAGGAGGAAGGTCTGAAATGGTATCGGGTGCAGTAAGCTCACTTAGATCTGTGACCTGAAACAAAAACAATCTTATTAAAATAGAACACGACAACTGATTTTTAATTTTTTTTTGCATTTTAGTAGATATATCCCCAATGAATGCATTCATTGCTGCCTTTTTATTGGGGGTAGATCTAAAAACAGCTGGAAAAAGCTGCGTTGCAGTGCTGCAGCCTTTGAAAGCCTTCCCCCTTCTAACCCAGCCCAGAATGTAGGATTGTCTAATCACAGGCACGTGTTCTGAGCAATTGCCCCCCCTTTTACAAAAATACATTCTTCACAGCAAGTTAAAGTGCTTTAGGTGTTTAGTGTGTCCCTTTAAGGGTGCTTGTCAATCCAGAAACATGTTCCTGAAGGTCTGCCCCAGGTCAGTAATAGCAATAAGCCACATATTGGATTAGCAAAATCACAGCACACTGTGGAAACATCCAGATGCATACAATAACATGTTTCTAGTTTAAAACTAATAACGATTTACGTTAATAACTGTGACCAGTTCTAACCATTAAACTACAGATTGTGGAGGAAGGACAAAAGCAACTTACCTTGCGCAAACAATGACTTATTTCAACAACAACTGCAGCCATAATGGTGGAGATGATCCCGCTATGAAGCTCTGGACAAGCCATGTGCCAGCACTGAACACAGTTTATGAATTCACCAAGAGGAGCTTGAATAGACTGAATCAGCTACAAATTAAAAATGTAAACAGAGAGAAAAATTAGAATAATCTTACGCTTCGCCCTTTGTCAAGATTGGCAAGTGTAGGAAAAATACACCAATAGTCCCTACTTTGACTTATATTGTAAAGAGAAATAGATCAGAAATGAACAAACGAACAGATTCTGGGAGTGGAAACAATAGCAGAAAGGTAAGTTTGAGGTGACACACACTGAAGCTATGTCTTTAAGAGGTTAATAAATGAAATTGTTTATGATGAGCGTAGTGAAGATGTCTAAAGCAGTGGTTCCCAGACCAGTCCTCAAGGCACCCCGACCAGTCAGGATTTAGGGATTACCAAGTTGTGTGTAAGGTGTTTTTTTCTTTCTAAAAGCACCATAGACACAACTGGGTGATTCCTAAATCCTGGACTGGTTGGGGTGCCTTTAGGACTGGTTTGGGAACCACTTGTCTAAAGTTTTCCTTTGACATAAAAGTATCATTTGAATGCAAAGTGTATCTAGCAATATTATTTCACCTTGCCTCAGGCTTACAAAAAAAAAAAACTTAAATTGCCATTTAACGTGCCATATCTCAAAGCAGGCACCATCTCAGACAGTGATTTCAGATTACTCCATGTGTCTGCAAATGCTTACAAGCAGCTAGTGCCTATAAATAAGTCTGAGAGACAAAAACTACTGCAAGCCAGTACTAGACAGGAGTATCTATAAGTGTGACCACTGAGTGTGTCTTATCCTTAGTACTTGGCTACCTGGAGAATTTCCTCTTGCTGTTTCTTAAGTCTGCGAGCTATAGTCTCCAACACTTTATGGAACACTTTCTGCACTGCGTCCAGGATTTGGTTAACGTCCTCATTCTTTTCGCTCATCATTTGAGCCAGACACACTTCAGTAGTTTCTTTGATCAGGGAGAGCTGCACCGGCAAGCAATCGGGGAACTTGTCTAAAATAAAAGGAAACCATTATATTACTATAAAAATAGAGGGGAAGAGTCTGCGCTGACTCAATTGAGCAGCAACCCTGAAAGGGAATCCCTCACAGAACCCTTATAAGGCAAAAAGATACAAAAAAAAAAAAAGGAGTTGAGGGCTGCGCTTAGCAAAGAATGGACAAAAGAAAGTAAAAATAAATGAAGCTTTAGGACGATATAATTTGTTGTTGGTTCCGATCACGTGATCGGGACGCTGCGCGCATGCGCAGATCGTTTTTTCGGCAAAACACTTCCTGGTGTGAACGGAGTGCTCGGTGGCCGGCTGGTAATGCAAAGTATGTTGGGAAATGAAGTCCAGCCGGTCACTGGGCACCCCTACATGCTATTATACACCAGGAGTGAAGTAATTATTATAACATAAGACCCCAATATGTTATAAATACATTTTTAAATGTAACCTCCACAGACTTTGTATTTATATAAAAGACACAGAACATACAATAGATGCAATAGATGCAGAACATAATATGAAATCATAATAATAATATAAACATGATTTAAAAGCACTTTGCTGCAAAAAAATATAATAATAAAAAAAAAAAAATAGCATCAGAGTAATTAAAGATATATACTTTAAAAATTAGGGTATGACATAAATTAAGGTAAAACATGATGGTAAAACAAGGTGGGTATGAAATATAATTAAAAGACTTTCTATAAAAAATTATGCAGATCAAAATCTGCATTAAGTCCGTTGGGTATTAGGGTCTGTAGCTTATAGACCCATTCCATCTCTGTTTTACCTAAAATATTTTTTATATCTCCTCCTCTCCAGGGTAGAGAACATTTTTTAATTCCCATATATTTTAACATTTTGGGGTCTTTATTGTGAATTAAGAAATGTTTAGATAGAGAGTGATTTAAAAAACCATTCTTAATATTCCTACAATGCTCACCTAATCTTATTTTTAAACATCTAGTGGTCATTCCGACGTACTGGAAGCCACACGGGCATTCCAGTAAGTAAATGACATTTTTAGTGTTACATGTAATGAATTCCTTTATTTTAAAGGAGGTTTTGGTTTTATTTGAAATAAATTGTATTATTTTAGGTGGCATTGTAGGATCGGCTGTTTTGCATGCAATACAATTCTTACATTTATAAAAACCTGAAGATTGGGGGAAGAAAGACACACTTGGTTTAGGTTTTTTAGTAAAGTTGGTAGTTAGAATGGATTTCACATTGGGGGCCCCTCTAAAAATTATACTCGGTTTTTTTGGAATGATTTTGGAGAGTTTTTCATCATGTTCTAGGATATGCCAGTGTTTATGAATGGTCTTCCTTATTTCTTTACTTTTATTGGTATAGTTAAAAATGATGGGGAGAGATATAGAGTCATTTTTAATTTTTGGTTAAAATGACTCTATATCTCTCCCCATCATTTTTAACTATACCAATAAAAGTAAAGAAATAAGGAAGACCATTCATAAACACTGGCATATCCTAGAACATGATGAAAAACTCTCCAAAATCATTCCAAAAAAACCGAGTATAATTTTTAGAGGGGCCCCCAATGTGAAATCCATTCTAACTACCAATTTTACTAAAAAACCTAAACCAAGTGTGTCTTTCTTCCCCCAATCTTCAGGTTTTTATAAATGTAAGAATTGTATTGCATGCAAAACAGCCGATCCTACAATGCCACCTAAAATAATACAATTTATTTCAAATAAAACCAAAACCTCCTTTAAAATAAAGGAATTCATTACATGTAACACTAAAAATGTCATTTACTTACTGGAATGCCCGTGTGGCTTCCAGTACGTCGGAATGACCACTAGATGTTTAAAAATAAGATTAGGTGAGCATTGTAGGAATATTAAGAATGGTTTTTTAAATCACTCTCTATCTAAACATTTCTTAATTCACAATAAAGACCCCAAAATGTTAAAATATATGGGAATTAAAAAATGTTCTCTACCCTGGAGAGGAGGAGATATAAAAAATATTTTAGGTAAAACAGAGATGGAATGGGTCTATAAGCTACAGACCCTAATACCCAACGGACTTAATGCAGATTTTGATCTGCATAATTTTTTATAGAAAGTCTTTTAATTATATTTCATACCCACCTTGTTTTACCATCATGTTTTACCTTAATTTATGTCATACCCTAATTTTTAAAGTATATATCTTTAATTACTCTGATGCTATTTTTTTTTTTTTATTATTATATTTTTTTGCAGCAAAGTGCTTTTAAATCATGTTTATATTATTATTATGATTTCATATTATGTTCTGCATCTATTGCATCTATTGTATGTTCTGTGTCTTTTATATAAATACAAAGTCTGTGGAGGTTACATTTAAAAATGTATTTATAACATATTGGGGTCTTATGTTATAATAATTACTTCACTCCTGGTGTATAATAGCATGTAGGGGTGCCCAGTGACCGGCTGGACTTCATTTCCCAACATACTTTGCATTACCAGCCGGCCACCGAGCACTCCGTTCACACCAGGAAGTGTTTTGCCGAAAAAACGATCTGCGCATGCGCGCAGCGTCCCGATCACGTGATCGGAACCAACAACAAATTATATCGTCCTAAAGCTTCGTTTTTATTATATGTATATATTTTAAGCCTAATTAAGCTTATATTAATGCATCTATTATGTTTAAAAGTTATTTTGAAATGTATTTTAAATATTGATTGTAATTTCCATTGTGATTGGTGCATCAAATTTTGGCGCCATTTTCAAACCCTTGTGAACCTATATATTCAACCTTTTGCCAGGTGTACTGTTCTTTTACCATTTTGAAAAAAACCTTAAAGGTGAAACGCGTAAATGGTTATTATAAGTGTATTTTAGTCAATAAAAGTTATTTTTGGTTACCTTTCAATATAGGACCAGTTTTTTACTTATTTTATTGTACTATATACTCTTTTATTTATTTATTTTTTACTCCTGGCATATTTTTACTATATATAATTATTTTAAATTACTCCATCGCTTTATTTTTATTTTTAATTTTATTTTATACTTTCACTGTATTATTTTATTTTATTATCCACCGCTGAAGTGCATCCCGTCTAAAGAAATCCTGAGGTGGGGATAATTCCACCAGCGATGTGGGAATAGAGCAGTATCTGTCTGCTCTATTTTTGTAAGTATAACTGATTTATACATATTATTGTGTTGTTCATACTGAGAGCACTATCTGCTGTTTTATATATCTCGTGGACACCTACCATCCAATACTGGAAAGGCGGACCTATCTCCCCAGCATAACGAATATTGCACATCTGAGTAGGTCCTAGCCTACACCAAAGAAACTTCAAACCGGACGGACAGACCAACTGTTCAGTATATCCGATAGTGGGGATCAAACCACTAAGTGCCTTCTCTCCGAGAGCTGGATAAAGCTCCAACAAATGTGAGTGAAATACCTTTTCCTTTGAATATATATTACTCTTTGGACATACAATATTTCACCATTGGAAGCCTTTCTTCTCTCATTTTTGTCTTCACATATATGGACCACCTACCATAAGGACGGAGTGTCATTTGAGGACTTATATTATATTACTGCACATCAGTGAGATTGTTTTAACTTATACTTTTCTTATATGTGGATGAACTTATTGTTTTTTACCTTCATTTATTTTTACTTTCTTTTGTCCATTCTTTGCTAAGCGCAGCCCTCAACTCCTTTTCATTATATTACTATAGCTACACCAAGTTTAATTCCAATTTCTGTAGCATAATAAACCTAACTGGCATTAGATTACACTCCAGACAACCACAGTGTAAATTTTAGGTCTAATCACACATTTTACCCAAACAAAATTACGTACTGGCATGCTTATGTAGAGTACCGTACCATATTACCTAGCGATTGTGCTCAGCCTATCAGCAGCTCCACATTCACATACAGGCAACTCTTTCCACCCGCTTCTCTAAATGGGGAGCTCCTGATAGGCTGAGAGTATCAGCTGATGCACTCAGCCTATAAGAGGCACATGGTCCAGGCACATGGTCCAAGGCTTCCTAATTTTGACTCAAACCTTTAGAGGAAGTGAAGGAGCAGAGTGATTAGGTGCGGTGTTCCAGACTTTGGGGTTAAACCATTTGTTAACGGTTTAACACCGTAAAGTGAGATGGAGCTTTGGACCGCCTCACACCATACATTTATTGCAATGCAGTGGCAGGAGTGGTCCTTTAAACACTGCAGTCAGGTATCCATAGGTGTAAAAACTAAGTTTTTAAATAAAAAATGTGAATCCTCCTCCGTTTTGCTAACTTTTCTCGCTTACTCTTGCCACAGTTCCCATTATTTGGCAAGTGTAATATGTACTAGACTTTGGCATAAATTAGCTTCAGTCAGTAATCCACATCACATTCCTTTTAATCCACAGCCAAATGAATTGTTCATTTAATAAGATGACACGGGTAAATCCAGAACAAATAACATTCGGTGTGGATTAAAAGGAATTTGATTTGGATGAACAAACAACGGCAATTTTGCAAAGTTTTCAGCTGCAACCTCTTACCCCAATCCAGATCATGAAACAAGAGCTCTGACACACATTGATCTAGACCAGTGTTCCCCAACCCAGTCCTCATGGACCACCAACAGTTCAGGTTGTCAGTATCTCCATTGGAATAAAACAGGGAAATACATAAATCCTGCACTGTTAGTGGTCCACGAGGACTGAGTTGGGGAACACTGGTCTAGACCACATGCAAGAGGTTTCAGCACTACAAACAGTGATTTTTTCATAGGGAAAACATCATTATCGTCAATTAAAGTTAGATTTAAGGTATAATTGGGGCTTTTGGAAGAGAAGTCAGTCATTAGAGTGACACTAACTTTACCACATCTCATAGTTATTAGCTGTGATGCTATGCAGTGTGGCAGGGTTTGAGTGCTTAATTCGGAAGATCCTTTGAAAGCAGGGAATGTAGGAAATTTAGTTCTAAAAATAAGTTTCTTTATGTATACTATTAAGGACAGAGTACGGTGCAGTTTTGATGTATTATGAAAGGATGAATACATACCTGTTTGTAACATTAAAATTATTATTTCTAGAAGTTGTGCTTGAAACTCTGAATCCCCAAGGCCGACCATTAATACATCTTTACAAACAGTCAGATAAACCTAATGACAGGAAATAAAACATATGTATTAAGTATCACTATTTAAACTTATGTCTATAGCACTCAAAAAGTCAGAGTACACAAAGCAAAAAAAAAAACCAAAAACAAACATAAGAAAAATAAAAATCACTGGAGCATGGTGAAAAATGAAATTATTTACACTTTTACTATAATTTCGAACCTTAAGTACTTCCTGGGAAATACGGATTTCCTCTTCTGAAGCATTCGGATAACTTTCAAGGTTTGTGAGAATATTGGTGTGGATCCATTCTCCGGTATCTTCCAGGACAGACAGATATGTTCTTCCTTCAGCGTTAAACTGTTGGTAAACAGATTGATCAAGAAAAACACTATCTTGTCATAGTCCAATATCATATCAGACTAAATGCATCAGTATTGAAAATACTAAGAGTGTAGGTATGAATTTATTTTCCATTTTAGAGAAGATAGAGAATGTTATTGGGGAAAACTACTCAAGGAGCTGAAAACGAAGACATGACAAGTTTAGACTATCAGTAACCAAATTCTCTGTTTTCATGCAAACATCCAGCAAAATGAACAGTGTAAAGAATTTTTTATTTTTTTTTTAAAGTATATGTAATTTAAGGGATAATTGGTTTAAAGGGTATGTCTTGCTCAGTAACACATAGCTCTGAACCATGTGGGGGTAAAATCTGTGTAAGCTCCAGTTCCAAACATTTATGGGCCACTAAGTCACCCAGGCCACATAATAGCAATGAATTGGTCTGAGTGCAGTTTTGTGGAAGACAGTCACTACAGGCGCTTCCTTCTCTAGAAAAGAGTTAAACTTGGTCCTGCAATCAAATACTGATCATAGCAGCATTTTATTGGACGAGTGTGGAGATTGGCCATGCATACGTATCTCCAATCCAATGCTTCTCTCTAGGAGAAGCATTGGGCTGGTCAAGATGAAAGAAGATGTCCACAGGCAGGCGGACATCTTCGGAATCAGACTAGCCTCAAGGCTGAGAACAAGGTCAGTAAACCTTACTGAACTTTACATTTGTACTAACAAAAGGGTAATGGACAGTGCTCACATCGATAGGGAACCTATAGTCCCATAAAAATTGTTTTTTTCATGACTATAGGTTCCCTTTGACAACCAAAGGGTTGTCAGACCCTTCTCAGTGCTTTCTAAGGGAGTTGCATAGACATTTCAAGCATGAGACCAATGGCCAATATGGCTGAACTTATGGACATTGTGATCCTTGTCGGCAGGTAGCACGGCCCTCTAGGGTAAAAACATGCACAGTCCTTGTAATTGCATATACTCAGGCACTTTATTTGTAAATCCACACAGGATACAGCAGTAAATGAAAAACAAAAGTAACAGAAAACCCTATAAACAAACACCTAGCTCGTCTGAGCACTAACTGACATTAGTTCCCTATCTCTCAGGGTTAAACTAAACACAATATTGCACCAACCTTATTAGAGAGCAACGCTCTGCTATCTAACCTGTTGCTTTCCTTTCTGCACTCCCAGTGCTCCAAGCCAGCCTTGCCCTGACTGCTTTGCTTTCTGCACTCCCAGTGCTCCAAGCCAGCCTTGCCCTGACTGCTTTCCTTTCTGCACTCCCAGTGCTCCAAGCCAGTCTTGCCCTGACTGCTTTCCTTTCTGCACTTCCAGTGCTCCAAGCCAGTCTTGCCCTGACTGCTTCCTTTCTGCACTCCAAGTGCCTAGTCTCCTTGACTATCTGGAGAGAACAGCCTCTCTCTCCTACCTGCTTCCTGGGAGGAAGCCAGCAATCCCTCTCCTTTACCTGCCTAGCAGGGAGGGGCTTATTACCACTGCAATAGCTCATTAACTGCACCTGAGCAGTGGGTTGGAGACGGTCCAAAAAACCCTGGCCTATATCTATGTCTCCCCAGAAAACCACTAAACTGTGGAGTGGAGCATTGGCCCACCCTTCTCTCCAAATGCTCCACCCCAGGGGCCCATAACTAAACAGTGTTTTGTGTTGCCTACAACACATCCTACACATACTCCCCCTGGGGTTAAAAGGCCTATCTGCCTTCACTTTATCACAACATGTATATATGTAACCCAACATATGAATATTAAATCATCAACATACCTATTTTTACATAAACTGTACCATAAAATAAAATTTTGGGAACGAGGTTTATAGAACATTTTGTTGAACTTGCGTGGGGCATCAAAGCAGCAGGTTTAACCATAAAGTCACATTATTCTAGTGACTTTATATTTTTTTTTTTTAAGAGGTCTATCTGGAATGTTATATAAAACATACTAAGGGAACATAGTACACAATTCTATTGGTTTACCTTGTGTTGGAGATGAACACTAAGTCTACAGTATAGGCTGAAGATCCTCAGAGCTGCAGCTTCATCAATTTTGTGTGTTACTGTTTGAGATGGCTTCACAAATGAACATAGCACTTCCTAAAAGATACAGAATAAGAGTGAGTAAAGAACGCATCTTTTTAGCTCATTTGATATACATGAAACTGGGAGTAGTGTACATATGTTTCACAACTTCATTTCATCCCTGCATAAGAGGACTTCTTAAAAACTGATATGCAAACCTATTAATTTCAGTGCCCTTAAATGTTCTTCAGAACACTGCACTGAACCCTGTGGACAAAAGGTACAACAGCCTAGGGGTATGGTTTGGCCAATTGAGAATGTAGAGAATTTGAGTGTTTAGACATCTCATCTAAAGGTTTCATAACCTTCCATGTCAGCAGAGTAGCATAATATAAAATGCAGAAAAGATGAAGCAGTGCATCAACAGCCAATCATTCTGCCACGTTTTAAATAAAATCAAAGTCAAAATGGGATTCCTAAAAAATAAAATAAAACCATTTATTAATAAAAAATAAATAAAATCAGAGAGCAACAGGCTACAAGTCTGTTACTAGTAATGAAAATAGATTAGTGAATAACTCTGCTTCAGAAAAACGTACTTTGACAAGTCCCAAGACTTTTAAAAGCTGACTCAGTTTAGTTTTTTGAAGAGATAAGAGGTATTCACGATTCACTGAGTTCTTCACAATATACTCAAGATAATCAAGGGCCAGTGTCGGCTTAGGCTCGCTGGTTTCTAGGATACGCACTTGACGTCCAGAATCCTTTCTACTCTGAAGAGGAACAAACAAAAGAGTAATGGTACTAATTATTTGTAGGACATTTTAATGGGACCATGATAATAATGGGGTGGAAGTAGAAGGGTCACCTTTTTTTCTGGTAATGACTCCGAAAGCCATTCAGTTATCAGTTCCAGTACATCACAAACTCGGTTCCAGCGGCACAGGCAGTCAATAAGAGAGGAAAATCTCTTTTCATCCACACCACACTCCAGCTTTCTCAATTTTGACAGAACAGAATGGCTAAAAGAGGAGAAACTTTGTTTTAATACAGTTGAAGTCTAGTAGTGTAGTTGAAAAAAGAAAAGAAAAAGAAACTCCCCTAAACTCATGATTACACATATAGAAATGTTAAGGTGAAACATGAGGAAAAAATAACCTGATATATAAAGTAGCATATATCACTATTTGCTACTTTGTAAGATTAGCCATGAGTAAGTAAACTATATTTTGAGTTTATTCCCTTCATCTGGTCTCTAATGAACAGAAGCAGTGCGTATCAGGCTACTGTCATTGTTCCACATAGAATGACCAATTGTGGTCAGTAGAATACTCAAAAGAATAAAGCAGCTCACTAGCAAAGAAGGACAATTAACCAGGACAACAACTCCCCCACGATATGTTATGTACTAAGGGGGCTATGGCTATTACAACTTTGGAAAGTAATGTATTAACATAAAACATGTATTTTAGCACAGTTTCTCTTTCGAGTAACTATTGCATTCACAGGCTTAGAGAACCTTGTTACTTTTCAACACAGTCAGGCTGAAAGGATTGTATTACAACAGTCCATCATATATAGGGATAGGCAACTTTGTACAAAGCAGCAAACTTTATCCAGAACCCTGTATACAAGAAGCTCGGGTGTTGATACAAATGGTCTTCACTTGGATAAATATTACCCCATTTTATGCAAGCATTAAGTCATAAACCGTGAGGTGGCACATAATGTGATGTTTAAAAATAACAAAAGAGAAATTAAAGGACTATTTCAATGTACATTTTTAAGGATTCATGTACATAGGAACTTTCTGACAGACTGCTCTTTCTGAATGAATGGGGAGAAGATAAAATATCATAAATATCTATGTGAAACTCTGAGCTAAAAAGCTAGAAAAGCCAAGTGAATAAGATTTGCTTCTCTAATCCAGAAGAGAGAGAGGAAAAAATAAAAAGGTAGATACCTGAATGTTGGGACAGCTTCTGCAGGCATAAAGGAAGCCATTATAACCAATGGAGCAACACATCGCTCATCCTAAAATCAAAAGAAAGTCCGCATCATTAGCATGTATAGAACAGATACAAAGTCCGCATCATTAGCATGTATAGAACAGATACAAAGTCTGCAGGTGGGGTTGAATTTAGGAGACAGAGAGATCAGCAAATGATTTGACCATCATGTTTGTCCTGACACACACACACACCCCCAAGACACCATAAGGGATACAAGGTCAAATGGAAACCATATTAAATAAATAGAAAGACAAATGTAGTTAAAACCCAGGGGAAGGGATGTTAACGCAGAACCTTTTGCCTCCGAGTTATTTGTTAGCCTGCTGGTTAATATGTGTACAATGTATATTGTTATAACATTTACTTTTATGTTTGTTTATATATCAGTTTATCAGCTGAAGCTTGGCAACCATCACTCTCCGAAGGGCTTGCTAGTATTTCATTGACAACTTTTTTCCCCATTTAGACTGAAAGGTTGAGTTTTGTTAAAAGCCTTTTTAATGCTACATAGGTTTACCTTAAAAGCCCGAAAATATTGAGGTAGCACCTTAGCAAATTTAGTTATGGTATATTCTTTGGCTTCTTTATTATCGTCAAGTGTTTTTCGAATGCTCCTCCACAGAATTACAATAATTTCCAACAAGCTGGCAACAGACGAAGTGTCCTCTGTGGATAAAACATTGTCCAATACCTGAAAACACAATGAGAATGTTTATACAAAAAACAGTTCATTGAATTTTCCCTCTCTTCCCAATGCTGCTCTCCTGTGTCAGGATTAAGGAGGGAGCATGAAAGTAGACAATTTGAAGTTAAAGCATTCTTTACTACCATGGGGTCATTGCATACAGAAGTTGACATTGCCTCCCCAATTATCCATTTGATAGCATCTGTGTGGATTTTGTGCCAAGTACCTTGGGTAGCCCCCTATTCATTCATCATGCAGAGACACTTGTAACCGAGACAACGGGAAACTCTTTTGTATAGTAAAATTGCACTGGTTTATATTGTTTGTTACATAATTCCAAATGCTGGAGTAAAGTGTAAACACAATCACTTTTTTAGCCATCATTACAGTGATCGTTAATAAGCATTTTTGGTTATGTTTCTCTAATTTGTGCACACTGAGCAGTTTCTTGCACTTGTGTTTCCGTGGCAACCAATAATATTTGCTGTTTTACCATTTGTTGCAATTCTATTCAAGTGCTGATTCAACCATTTCCTATTCCTCCTACCCCCCCCACCCCCCCCACAAAAAAAGACGCAAAATGTAGCAAGCAGGAAGTTAGCAAACTGGGAATACATACACTCTTATTCTCCTTTTCACTCTCTTGTTCGCCACAGTCTTCATCATCTTCATCTTGGTCAGCACGCTGAATACATCCATTTAAACACCGCCGTATGGTAAGCATTAATTTTGCTGGAAAGAGAAAGAATCAATGACCAGTTATAGGCTTGTATATTAAACGTTCTTATATTTTTACTGTTTTCTTTGAAAATAGTGCTTTCACGGCTTACCAATATTGGTAGCTGCGGTGTGTTCATGGGCGTACTGATAGAATTTCCGTGATGCCGCTGGGTTCATTTGTACCAGGGAGACACATCGCTCACACCAAAGCTCTTCATCTTGATTGACCGGAAAAAAGGAGTTAAACAGAAGATTTACAATCCGACGGGAAACAGGCCGTGAATCTACTTCGAGGCGAGCCAAAAGGTGGTCCATGGGGCAAATGTTCCAGAACTAAAAAGGAAATCATAATAGACATTTGGCATATATTCAGAGATTGCAACAAACATGCCGAGAAATAAGAAAGAACAGAGGGACGTTGTATACAATACATGCTCGAGTCCAGGCTTTAGTAAATTAAATGTAATAATAAACTGACATCACTATACCTTAGCAGCTCGAACAGCTTTGATTTTCAACAGCATGTTCACAAAGGCCACGCGGACTTTCTCTGAATTATCATGAAGACTCAACCTCACAGCCGGTAACAACTTCTCCAGTAATGGGTGACTTAAAGAGTTTTCCAATATTATTGGCAAACACTGTTCATAATAAATGAAGATATTACCATTAGATAAGCAGTACCTATTAACAGCCAGTGCAGAACTAAAGGATTATTACGTGCCATAGCAACCAGTGCATGTTATCTGAACACAATGCTTCATAAGTGCAGAAATTCATTATCTACATAAAACACAGGAATAAAATACATTAAAATACAACTCTGAAGATATGGAGTGGTCACTGGTATTAAAATCTGGAGCAAGCATGACAAGGTACCACTTTTATACAGCTTTCACATAAATGGCGCTAATTGAATTGCTAGCAACTACACAAACAACTTTATATTCCAAAGAAGTGATCTGTTGTGTTTTCTATAAGGGTCTATAACCTCTAATGGTCTCTTCCAAGCTAAAGTAAAATAACCTTCCCTTAAAGAAGCCTCCTTTGCTTTTTGTCATCCTATGTGTAAGTTGACTGTTGGCTGGACAGATTCATTAAACAATACACATTTAAACTTACTTTGGTGAAATTGAGGAAAATTGACAAGAAAAATATGGATTTTGTTTTCCCCAACTTGAAAAAATGTAAAGGTGCTGTGACATTTCCTGCTTGACCAAGAATTTGCAATTCTTTTATAAAATATCCACAAAGTAAGGTTTGATAAATTAGTATTTGGAAAACATTAAACATATAGCTAGATTTTAATTAAGAAATATATATGTGCTTCAGGGTTGTTGCGTTGGGGATCAAAGGCCCTCAATGACCTCCCGCTGTGTCGGCTCGGGCAGTGTGATCCCTCATCACCGCTTGTCGCCAAGGGTGGAGACCGGGATGATCCACAACGGTCCAAAGGGGGGGATGGGGAACAGGACCATGAAGGTGTCAGGCAAGTGGTAGTTCGCTTTAGTCGTGATGGAAAGCGAGGCAGCGGCCGCCCGCCCCACTCTCCTCCCGGGTAGGTCTCAGTCCCCAGAACCACCCGTTGTCGGGCGCTCCAGCTGCACCGGGACACTCCAGAGACTCTTGCCATGGCCTCCCAGGGTGGTACAAGCACAATAAGGTGGGTATTTGCCCAAAATTAGTTTGTTCCCCCAGGAGCACTAGTGTCTTGCAGCCTGCTGGCATGGCTGCACTCACGTCACATTCCCATTACCTCTTGCTGTATGCGCTGTCGGAGCTGGTGGTGACCCCAGCTTTATAACGTTAAGAAACACACTGTGCAGTATGCCACGGATAGCCTCACCAATTATTGTCGTAGCTGCAATTGTTGATTAGAATGCATATTTTGTTTATTATACCATATATAGTTATATTTGGATTAAGTTCCCTGCCTATTGACGGAGACAGTCCGGTATATGATGTTCTGCCTGGTGGTACTTAGCTTTAATGATAATTTTTGTTAAACTGAAGATCTTACAAGCTAATATAAACGTCAGTGTGTAATTCAGAATTGCTACCTTGTCTGCCATCACTGGTAACGGACACATGGACTACTTATTCCTGCAACTACATTACTTGAAAGTATAAAATGTGCTATGCCCTGATAAGCTAAATAATTTAATTTCAGTTAACTGTTGAAGGTCATGCTTACAATAGCGGTTGAATCTTGTTTATGAATACTCAAAATGTGCGATTACTCTTGCCACTGCTGAGCTTTTATATATGTTGATTCACGCTGTTGTGGCGTTTGTGGATATTTTGTACCTACCTGCACAACAAAACAAAAAAGAAAAAAATTATAGAAAAAAAAAAAATATATATATATATAAAAACAAACAAAACAAAAAAAACACAAAACAAGATTTCATATCATATGTACATGCTCTAGATGCATAATTATTTGCTGCTGAGGGAATAGGGGCTCAAGTGTTCCCCATAATCATTAGTATTTGGATGTGTTCCAGGCATTGAAGGAGTAGATATTCTTAAAGGAACACTATAGCGTTAGGAATACAAATATGTTTAGGTGACTAGGGCCCCGTTACGCGGTGAATAAATGGTTAACCATTTATTTGCTTACCTTAATCCAGCACTGGGCTCCCTCGGCACTGGTGACCTCTCCTCCTCCATCGACGTCAGCTCCCGAGTGGAGCCAAATGCGCAGCTAGAGGCGCGCACGCATTCAAACCTGCCCATAGGAAAGCATTACTTAATGGTTTCCTATGGGGATCTTTTTTGACACTGGACTCTGTGAGCACATCCAGTGTCAAAAAAACTGTGATTTACTCACCGAGAATTGCGGAAGCGGCCTCCAGTGGCTGTCAGTGAGACAGCCACTAGAGGCTGGATTAACCCTAGTGTAAACATAGCAGTTTCTCTGAAACTATGTTTTCAGCTGCAGGATTAAAACTAGGGGGACCTGGCACCTAGACCACTTTATTGAGCTGAAGTGGTCTGGGTGCCTATAGTGGTCCTTTAACATTCTTGATTTCATACTTTATTTATACTCCTTACCTTAAACACAGAGCAGCGGACATCAGCTGAACTTGTATCACAGGCCAAATCACAAAGTATTTTTTTCAAGAGATCTGTCAGGATTGCTACAGGCATCATCTCCCAATACTTTGCTGATATTTTACAGACACCCAAGACTCCAGCAGAGCGTACAATTGGATGAGGGTCCTCTAGAAGGCTCTAAAATATATAAACAGACAACTTCAAAATGTAATACTGTAGATAGAAGGGGCACTACACGTAACAAACACATACCGTTTAACGGTCTGTCACTTGAAACAGTATTTGCACCATGTGTTTTTTTTGTTCTACCAGAGTAGCACTTTATTGGATTTGTACTGTGGCATTTGGGTATTTTTTGTGTTGAAGTGAAAAAAAATACATTGAAGGTGAGTAGTTATGTGTAAGATACAGTTTTTGACTAAGAGAGAATATCCTGTTAAAAAGTCATGCTAAGCACCATAAGGTCTGTTCCCACGTTTCGCCTTGAGAGTGGCTTAGAACTGTAGTGTGTGTGGGGGGATATAGAAAATATAACTGGAGTTTATAGGATAAGAATAGAGAAGTTAAAAGCTTCCAATTAATGATCAGTTACATCAATACTGAGGCAAACAGAAGGTTATTTTCCTAAAACATATTACATCACCATACTTAACAACAGTCCCAGATTCCTTCGGATTATTTTAATTTCTGTGTCATGTTCCACACTGCTCTCTGATATTCTGCATCAAGGGCACCAGAGAGCACAAGGATATCATTAGACATTTTCAAGTTGCGAAAAGTAGAATCCATACAAGTGCACTTTGCACATGTGCAGTCTCAAGTCAAGCCTACAATCCCCCTTTTGTTGTGTGTGCTCATCCTTTTACACCCCTAACCCTCAATGTTGGCAGGCATGCGTTATTACTCACAAAAAGTTCATCAAACTGTTTCTGTATTTCATTGTCCATATCCTCGTGATTTAGGCCGGGATAACGAAATGGAAATACTTCTACGAACAACACTGCAGAATTTGCCCTGACTTCTGAATTTATGGCCTGTTAGAAAGAAACAGAAAAACATTACCTGTGTTGCCACTAAAGAGATCGCATTTCACTTTAACGCTGCTAATAAAAGCAATGTTTCAGTAAAAAAACAAAAACACCAAAACAAAACTTAATCATTCATTAGGATTTAAGGCACTCACTTCTTCTTACTTATACGAAAGAACTGGTTACCTGGAGGAGGAAGGACTTGCTGTTAAACTTTTTTTCCAATCTAAATGCTGGCAATTCGCTAGCACAATGCATAGATGGAATTTAATGTATTTTTAGCATTGGTCAGATCTCTGTTTATAACGACTTAAAAAGAACAAAACGACTAAAGTAATATATCCGTAACACAAGAGAGATTATAGTAAGATTACGGCTGGTGACTAACTGGATTTAGTAAATTAAATACATAGAACAGATTTATTTCATTTTTATTTTAACTCAATTGTGGATTCAAAAAAAACAAAATAAAATGTAACACCATTAGAATGATAGCAACACCTCTAAAACTAAAAGGGATATGTGTTTGGGAGCTAAACATACACATAGACATTACCTTTAGACCTCTCCATAGAATTGGCTGGTAAAGTCTGCAGAGCATTTCATCTACTCCTTGCCGCAATTTATTCTGGTGAAAGTAGGCGAGCACCTAGACAGAAGCAAAACAAAATGGCATAGAATAGACAGGACAAAAGCATAGCAATCTTCTCATTATTTTATGAAGGGCCCATATGTTTACTATCGAGCGCACATCAATACATGAACACAAATAGGCAGATTAACATGGACTTCATGTGGATGTGTAGTGCATAAGATATGAAATAAATATATATGGGTATACAGAAATAAACATAAAACGAAACAGGACAACCCTTTTAACCACTAAAAACAACTACTTTTTAATTTGTCATGTCTTTATTTAAAAGTCATTTAGTGACCAGCCACTAGGTCAGGTATAGGCAACCTTCAGCACTCCAGATGTTTTGGACTACACCTCCCATGATGCTTTGCCAGCATTATTGGTGAAAGAGCATTATGGGGGATGTAGTCCACAACATCTGGAGTGCCGAAGGTTGCCTACCCCTGCACTAGGTCTTCAATTGAGCTAGACAGAAGCTGGGACACACCTGTCCACGTGGTTCAAGGGGACCCAAACCCTGAGATTTGCAGCAGAAGTGCTTTATAACTCATCTGTTTAATTCAATGGAATAATCTTTGTCCCGTAAAACAAAACAAAAAACTTTAAAACAAAAAGATATGATGTTTTGAGTGTATGAGTCCCATAAAGACATCAGTTTTACATGCCAATTGTAGATTATAAACATTAAAAGGAAAACAAAGCAGTATAAGATCTGAACACACCTCGCGCACTCTGCAATAAACAGGAGATCTCTTTGGCAGGTGAACACCGTGATGCATGAAATCCTGAATACAGTCATTTTCTATAGTCTGAAAAATGAGAGAAAAAGGTTGAGTCAAAAACCCAAATAAAAGACTTTGAATGTATTGCTGCTATCCAATTTGGTACTTAATGTTTGCTGCATAGAGGATGGGATTGTTAAAACAAAAAACACACATTTATATAAAACATGACTTGGCACACTCAGACTTTGTATCAAGGTTTATAATTCTTTAGTGTCAAAAAGTGAAGTTTACATTTCTGATCAGGATCACAAAATCGTGAGAGTGTGCCAATTCTTTACGTCATTTTCCAATGCTGGAAAGCACCAAGGTATTAAAAGTTGAAGGCAAAGTGCCAGTTTTCACAGCTTAAAAGTCCGATAGTACTATCCACTCCTGAAATGTTACTCACCACTGCAAGACAGAGTGTACAAACACAAATTTTTTATTACACACAAACATATAGAATTATAAATCAAAACTGGGCACTGCAGCAAGGTCATCTCAGACACCGCTAGACAGATGGGCAGGCAGCCACTGTATACGTAGCAATAGGAGAAAATATCATTAATATTTAAAAATAAAAAAAAGTTACACGCAGTATTTCAGTAAGACTTGGAATTTTAAGATCACTTTTAAATCTCTACAACTCGCAACTTATCTTTAGAAATGTAGTAGCTTTTATATTAATGCAAGCTCAGGTAAAGTTGACATGCATGTACCTTTAAGAAATCCCCAGATGCTTTCTTCCAAGCTCTGAAATATATTTCTGCAATGTTCTTCATTAAGGATCTATAATAAAATGCAGACAGATCATCAGTACAGCTGTTACTTGACACAAATGTGTACTATTCACTAGTTGTCTATTTTTATTCATTTTGTTTTGGAGTAATTTAATAGATGTGTTTAACTTTTCAAGCTAAAAAGGGCACGAAAAAAAATGAAAGTACACTACAACAGGGCATATCACCGAGACATTTAATTTCAATAAAAGGTCCAATTTCAATGTTGGAACACGGACTCTCAGAAATGTAACAGGTTCAGAAGAAAGGCGGCATATGAAGGGTGCAGGCACCCGGCATGCGTGCCACCAATAAAAAACAAGGGGAATAGGCAGTAGTCTTACTGAATCTCTCCACAAACAGATACCCGAGGCAGAGCCCTCCGCGGCCGCCTCACCATGCCTCCAAAAAGTGCTGCCACCTTACCTGCCAAAGGCAGGCAAGGAACTGGGAATCTCAGGATTGTTTGTCTTGTTATACCAGCTGGAGGAGGAGCTAGAGGGAGGACCCCTTTATGTTTTTATTTTGTAGGTGTCTGCCTGCCTTCCCTCCAGATTAGAGAATATCCCAGCTGTAGTGCACTGCCTCTAATCTAGAGGGAAAACATAAGTACACAGAATTGGCCACACAACTCTTCAATCGCAATGGGTTTCTCATATTTAGTTGACTAAAATCAGAAAAAAAATTCTCCAAGGCTGCAGTTTGTCCTATAATGAACACACACACACACAGCTATAACCTATATTTCAGCAAGACAATTAGTAATAACTCACTTTTGGAGAAATTGCAGAAAACCTTTAATACGTGCATGGATCACTTTGACGAAGTTGGCATCCCAGCTAAACAGAAAGGTTAAAAATCTCCTGCCCTATTTAAAAGACAAAACACATTACAAATGAAAAGATATATATAGAGATATACAATATATATATAATTTTTTGTCATTAAACCAGGGGAGTCATTTTTTTCCTCTTTATAAAAGTAATACTATTCCTGCCTGTTCTGTGGTTCTTTTTTATAATATGTCCCTTTTCAAGCAATTATTGTGTATGCAGCAATTTAACCTTATAGTCCTTTTGGAGAATAACTAAAGAAGAATTGTCACTTGGACAAAACTGCAGTATGATACCTTAAGCACAGTCACCCATATAGAAATTCTGAACAAGTGCATGCAATGTGCATATGGCACTGCACGGTTTAACAAATTTGCATGTATTGCCTGGTGTGCACAGCATTTAAATGAACATAAAAAGAAATCTGGTCAAAAACGAGTAACAGCCAATAGCAAACTTAGTCAGTGATTTGGTGGTAGTAAAATCTCAGAAGTGACAGCACCTTTTTAATTACACCTGCTAGGATTAATAAGATTCCATGTAAAAATAAAATAAAATGTGAATAGGCTTATGACCTAAATGATTTTAATTGAAATGAAAGCAAGAGTCACAAAATGTATAAAAAAAATAATAAAAAAAAAAAACCCCATCCAATTCAGAAACGTACTCCAACAGAAACTAGTAATTTGGCGTTCAAATCAGTTCAGTGATTAATCCCCAGTATGCTAGCCAAATTACTATTAATGTACATATTCAAATTTATATTCTGACATTCTTGTGCTTTACAGCTATACTGTTGTCAGAGCAATGAAACATTATGACATTATAGTCACCAAAACAACTACAGCTTATTGAGTAGAATCATTACCTTTGTGCTTTTTGCAGTAAACATGGTCTTTTCAGAGAAAATGCAGTGTTTACATTACAGCCTAGTGATAACTTCACTGGCCACTCCTCAGATGGCTGTTAGAGATCCTTCCTGGGTCATGGCTGCCTAAAATGCATCCAAACATTCAGTATCTCCTTCCTCTGCATGCAGACACTGAACTTTCTTCATAGAGATTCATTGATTCAATTCATCTCTATGAGGAGATGCTGACTGGCCAGGGCTGTGTTTAACTTGTGCTGGCTCTGCCCCTAATCTCCTTGACAGTCTCAGCCAATCCTATGGGAAGGCATTGTGATTAGCTCAGACCACCACTTCCGATGATGTCCGAGGCAGTTCACAGGCAGAAGTTTCCCACTTCAGTACAAGTAAGGGTTTACTATATTTAGGGAGGTAAGGGGACAGATGGTGGTTTTAATACTATAGTGTCAGGAATATATACATGTGTTCCTGACCCTACAGTGTTCCTTTAATGACAGCAACAGACTGCCATGGAGCAATCAAAAGCAAATGTAGGAATGATTAAGTCTTCTACACTTTTAAGGCATTACTAAACATTCCAACAAAAGGAAAAACTGCATATAAAGCCTTGCTCCTTTCTGAAATTTGGATAAAAACGCACACATGCACCGTCAAGTCTACACAAAGGCCAACCTAACATTTAAATGGAGGAAGAAAACATTTTTCCTGTGTGCATGAGACATTTTCCAATAAGCAACAGAACTATGTGTCTGACCGTGCAGGATGCAGATCTCACGCGATCACTATTCACTGTGTGGTAAAGCACTAAGCAGCTAAAATTAATGGTTTCCTATCTAGAAGTAAGAGAGTAAAAATTGCTCCCATTTGGGCTCTAAGAGGTACCTGCAGCCCAGAAAGTACATTACCTCTTCCTTTTTAATGAACTTTATGCTTCTGGCACATAGCAGTAGTAATTCCTTCACTTCATTGCTCTCCGCAGAGTTGTAATCAAAACTGAGAAGACAGGGGTGTAGGTTCCACAAACGAACAATATTGGCAGCCTTGTAAACAAGATATTGAAAAATAAATTACAAAAATGACAAAACACCTACCATAAATCAAGCAAAACTAACTGGCACAGGAGCATAATAAACATGTGCAATCTGTAAAGCTAATAGTATTAAAAAAAAAAAAAAAAAAAAAAACCATTACAAATGTTTTTACTTACAATACAAAAATCACTGTAATTAACGTTTGTAAGCTAAAGTTGTTTAGGTGACTATAGATCCTTTAAGCTGTAGTCCCCCCAGGACCGCCGGGCTTGTAATGAGCCTGAAACCAATCTGAACAGTTTGAGAGAAAATCAGGAAACACTGTCCAGACTATTGGCACCATAATCACTACAATGAAATGTAGTGAATATGGTGCTTTGAGAGACCTTTTCAATCTGACACATTTAAACAAGCCATGACTTTTGCAAATTTAGTCATTGATGCAAGATTTGCCAGTATATATCTCAAACAATATTCTAGAGAAAATACATTTTAAAAAGCTGATCTTGAAGCATCTTTACCAACAGTAAATTCATCACTGGATAAGCACAATGAGTTTGGGTTTAGAATAAAAAATAAAAAGATGCAACAAAACACTTACCAAGCCCTTTTCTTCAAGTGATTTACTCAGAAGAAAAAGAAAAGCGGTTTTCCCAAATTCTTCTTTACCCTCTAACCCTTTCTGCCACCAAGCTTCGCAAAGATGTTCAATAGCAAGGCACACATTTTCAGATTGGGGTACAGCATGTATTATACCTACACCAAAACATATTTTTTTTTTTTAAATGAGAAAAAAAAGACAAAGACTTCTGTGAAAAAGAACATTTGAAAAATATCTTACACATCCTGCAGTGTACTAAGTTATTATGTACACACAGTTTAATAATAATAATAATAATAATAATAATAATATTAAAATCAGGTCTATAACAGCAGTGCTTCACTTGGTATCAGACTACAGACTCATGTTCTTACTGCTTGTACTAGGATACATGTGTCCATGCATAAACGGATCAATATAACTGTCCAATTTTCTAAGCTTACAATAAAACCTCAAATAACGTTCCTGCACATTTGCAATAATATTCAAAGAGGAAGAAGCTGAACCAGAAATATTTTCCAAGATTCTATAAATGTTTTTAAAATACTTTTTTTTTCTTTTTACAGATATATGTTTATCAGACAGGAACACGAGCTTGGGAGGATCCCTAGGGTTACACTTATAAAAAAGACCTACTCAAGATTTGCAAGAGCTCTGTATGCAGATCACACTAATCAAACGATCCCCAGGACAACAAATAATTTTGTGAATTACGTGATTTTAGGGCATAGGGTCTGGTCCTGTAGTCTTGCGATTAATAAGCAATGCAATCCCCACGCCTTTCTTCCGGCAAAAAGATGATTCAATAATTGAATTTAGCATACATCTGACTTGATAAAAGTCATCCAGTTTGAGCGGTAGTGAGAAGCATGTCTAGTCTAGTAGAAATGTTGAGGGTCCATTACATTAACAATAAGAGTAAGTACCAAAAGGGGGAATGTACTTACCTGTATGCATAAAGTTATAAACACAATGAATCTGTAAATATTAATAACATTTTATGACAGTTTCTCTTTAATACAATTGCCGTATAGGAGGCATAAACTAAACATATCAACACATCTATAAAAAATAAAACCTTAAATCATACCATTTAGAATAGCTGCACATTCCAGAAGCGCCCCATAGCTTACATCTTCATCTACAACAGATACAGACGTTGTTGCAACAACTGTCACACCGTAAAGGATAGATAGGGTGTGTTTCTACCAAGAAAAACACAGTATATTAACATTATTTATTTTTACATGAAAAAAAATCAAAATCAAAAGGATCAGTCTTAAAGGACCACTATAGTGCCAGGAAAACACACTTTTTTTCCTGGCACTATAGTGCCCTGAGGGTGCCCTATCCTCAGGGTTCCCCTCCCGTAGGGCTCTAGGGGGAGGAAGGGCTTAAACTTACCTCTTTCTCCAGCGCCAGGTGAGAGTCGCGAGTGCATTCAGCCAGTCTCACAGGAAAGCATTCACAATGCTTTCCTATGGACGGTGGCGTCTTCTCACTATGATTTTCACAGTGAGAAGCGCGGAAGTGCCTCTAGCGGCTGTCAATGAGACAGCCACTAGAGGCTAGATTAACCCTAATATTTCTCTGAAACTGCTATGTTTATAGAAGAAAGGGTTAAACCTAGCTGGACCAGGCAACCCAGACCACTTCATTAAGCTGAAGTGGTCTGGGTGCCTATAATGGTCCTTTAACACCAAAACTACTTTAGTGATTTAAAGTAGCCATGGTGCTTGGAGTCTGCATGTGCAGAATATCAGTTTGCACATAAATAGCCCAGTGTTGGGAGTAGGATTTTAGGGAATTATGTAATTTTTGAAAAAATTAAAATGTTTTAGTTTATTATGCATTTTTAAACGAGACCCTTCCCTTTAAAAAAGGCAATTAAAAAATGGAGAGTTTCTAGCTGTCTGATTGGTAGAGTGCAGGGTAGACTATTTAACACCACCAAATCTATAAGGTTCGTAAGATTTTAAAATACAGAAGAAGAGCAAAATATTGTGGCTATTTAAATTTTTGGTCCTGTCCACCTCTTGAACTTCAAATAAACAGTAAAATTAAAACTTCATATAAAACGTGTTTGGAAAACAGTATCAAAGATTTTACAATGTCAAGCATTCGCCTGCTTTATGCAAAACTTTATATTATATCATTGAGAAGTTTGTATGCTTGCTTCCAGCAACACCCTTTTTCCTCTTCTATTTCTTTTGTTTTTATATTCATGATTGTTTGTTTATATGGCAAGTGTGATACATTAACATTATAGGAAGCCACAATGAACACTGTGATACAGATAAAGTAGGGCTCAAATAGTTGCAGTGCAACTATAATAGTAATAGTTCTGTTACCACATCTGATGGACACTCCACTTCCATGTCATCATCACTGTCATCATCTAACTTTTGCCATTCTTCCACCGGGTGGGCCACTAGGGTCTCTGTCAACAGAATCTTGAGCTTCTCCCATAGTTCCTCCTTCTGTTTCCTTGGCAACTCCTGAAGTAGTTCGTGCAAATTAAAAGGATCAGAGGGATCTTCCTGTAAAACAAAGTAAATAAATTAATGAAAAGGACTGGCTGGACTGACAAGGATAGAGGTGGATAAAATGTGTGTTTTACTTCTTTATTTTTTCCCAAGGGGCACAACAATCTAAATAAGCAAAGGAACACTAATATAATAAATATATTTAGTTACAATGTTAGAGATGTTTTAACATTATCCAACAACCAGACCAATGTTTTTAAGATATTATGCATGCAGCACATTTTACCACAATGCACTAATAGGAACAAGAGATGCTTAGTTTCTATTTTCATAATAAAGCTTTGTAGCATGACCATGACCAGTGAATTAACTGTTGCAAATATCCACAAACTAGCCAGACAGCCTTTATGTCTATCTTAAATTTGCTATACTTACATGAAGATTAATGAAATTGAGGAAGGTTTTCACTGATTCCTTGGATGTGGCTTGCAAAAATGCCACCCGTTTTGACATTTCCACAATCAATCCTAAAAATGAAAAAAAAAAAACACAACAATGTATGAACCATATCTGAGCTCTGGCTGTAACTAAAACAATATTTTAAAGTACTGTCTAAACTGAGAGACTGCTCTTTTAATTGATGATGAAGTTGGATAGAATTGTATTTGCATCACAGCGAAATATTGGGCATCAAGGTGCAACAATAAAATGACTACCAGCAAGATGTTTAATATTGATCAATGAAAGCTACAGAGATGGTACCAAAAAGAGGTGGAGTTAGCCCTGAAAGGTATATATTGCAGTTTCTTAAAAACTGCAATAATTACATTTGGATGGTTAAGGGACCTGGGACAGTGCACACAGACCACTTCAATGCGCTGAAGTGATCTGGGTGCCTATAATGTCATTTTTAGGGGCTAACCTTCACTACCCTAGTTAATTTTTTTTTTTAAATATTGATTAAAACACCCCCTATGTTTAAAGAAACACTCTGGACATCATGACAACCTCAACTCAATGAAACTGTTGTGGTGCCTGTAGGTCCCGGGCACTGTTTTTCCTTAAGGGGTTAACATGTTTATTATTGGTTTAGCTGACACTTTCAGCCTACCAATGGTGCCCTGTCCAGGGTGGGTCTTGACTGTACCAGGTCCAAACTAGATAATGAGATCAAATGATAAACCTTTGATACATGTTTAAAAGAATGTAGCATCATGTATAAAAAATTTGTAAAACTAAAAAATGATAAATTTGTGTTATAAAAGCTGTTTCAACGTTTTATTTATATTGAATACTGCAGGGCACACCGTAATTTGCATACCATGCCATAAAAAATTAAAAATGTGTTACTGCCACTAGGCTTTTTACACCCTACAGCTGACTTGTCAGCAATGACAGTTCCATTTTAATTCTCATCTACAGTAACCGGTTATTGTTGGACACAGCTGGTATGGACTGCCACTCCCATGGTGCTCAGCCAGTAAGCTACATCCACAGCACAGTGTTGGATGGTTTCTGTTTTCCATTAATGAAGCTCCAACTGCTGTGGACTCCCACCAAGCTCAGCCATGTATGGCAGTAGGTAACAGTGTGCCCCTCCTGTGGACTGTCACTCCCACTAAGCTCAGCCATGTATTGCAGTACGCTCCCACCAAGCTCAGCCATGTATGGCAGTAGGTAACAGTGTCCCCCTCCTGTGGGCTGTCACTCCCACTAAGCTCAGCCATGTATGGCAGTAGGTAACAGTGTGCCCCTCCTGTGGGCTGTCACTCCCACCAAGCTCAGCCACGTATGGCAGTAGGTAACAGGGTGCCCCTCCTGTGGGCTGTCACTCCCACCAAGCTCAGCCACGTATGGCAGTAGGTAACAGTGTGCCCCTCCTGTGGGCTGTCACTCCCACCAAGCTCAGCCACGTATGGCAGTAGGTGGCAGGGTGCCCTTCCTGTGGGCTGTCACTCCCACCAAGCTCAGCCACGTATGGCAGTAGGTAACAGGGTGCCCCTCCTGTGGGCTGTCACTCCCACCAAGCTCAGCCATGTATGGCAGTAGGTAACAGGGTGCCCCTCCTGTGGGCTGTCACTCCCACCAAGCTCAGCCATGTATGGCAGTAGGTAACAGTGTGCCCTTCCTGTGGGCTGTCACTCCCACCAAGCTCAGCCATGTATGGCAGTAGGTAAGTGTGCCCCTCCTGTGGACTGTCACTCCCACCAAGCTCAGCCATGTATGGCAGTAGGTAACAGTGTGCCCCTCCTGTGGACTGTCACTCCCACCAAGCTCAGCCATGTATAGCAGTAGGTGGCAGTCTGAGCATTGTTAGAGTGGCAGTCCATACCAGCTGTCTCCATATATTAAGTCCATGGTGATGGGTACTGAGCAGTAGCGCCAACACGTGCCTGCGCGCAGGACACAGAGCGCCCCCCAGGGACTTACCGTATCCACCAAACAGCAGGAACCCACTTCCCGCCTGATCCCCAATTCAAATCCCAGGTCAACCCGCCATCGACAACACAGGAAGTGCGTCACCAGACCGGAAGCCAGGCTCCAGCAGAGCGTTCTAAACCCAGCCCCGAGAGCGGCCGCTGGCTGCGGGGAGGGCGACATTCTCGGGGTGGCTGTATTAAGTCTCGTGTGTTTAGAACTCGGTGCTCTCAGCCTGCCTGCTGTGTGGGAGCTGGGGAGAGGCTCAGAATGCTGTGTAAATTCTGAATACTGTCCACAGCCCCCACAAAGGCACCTCACCAGCAGCTAAAACTTTATAATTAGTAACTGTGTGATAGCCTCCACAAAATAAACAATAAAAGTTACCTGGGCACTATTTTATATCACAATGAAGTGTAAGCTCACCTGCCAACCCAGGCCTGGAGTGTGAGTGGGATCTGTCTGCATAGGATTGTGTGTGAAATTCTGAGTATGTTTACATATTCAAATGGAGAGTAACTAATATGTTTAGAGTGCCGCTGTCCTCATTCAGGCTTTGAAATGGTTTAAAAAAAATACAGATTTTAGAACAGTGACATCAGTTCAGCAGCATGGAGGGAGTCTCAGTGCTGGAAATAGTAAAGTAATAGCCTTGTTTAAGATTTATTTTTAATTTTTTAGGATCACTATAGTGTCAGGAAAACACCCTCCCCCCCACCCCCCCTTAATCGGTGCTGGTGACCTCTCCAACTCCTCCGATGTCAGCTCCCAAGTGGAGCGGAATGCGCGGCCAGAGGCGCACGCACATTTTGACAATCCATAGGAAAGCATTTCTGATTTTCGCATCCAGCGGCACAGAAGCGTCTCTAGCAGCTGTCAGGAAGACAGCCACTAGAGTCTGGATTAACCCTGCCGTGTAAACATAGCAGTTTCTCTGAAACTGCTATGTTTACATCTGAAGGGTTAAAACCTGGGGGACCTGGCACCCAGACCACTTCATTGAGCTGAAGTGGTCTGGGTGACTATAGTGTCTCTTTAATATATTTTTAGTGGAAACGGAGCCGACTTACCTAACTATGGTCTAGGAGGGCTCTATAGCATTCACACTACAGACTTGGATTCAGAACTCTATAGTGTTCCTTTAAGTGTAAGAACGGGTCAGTTTCTGGAGGGCAGTGTGGTATTTAAACAAAAGATGGGTCAGTTACTAGAGCAGGGGTTCCCAACCCAATCCTCATGTACTCCCTACCAGTACACAATTTAGGGATTACCCTGTTGTGTCTACAGTCTTTTTTTGTTTTTGTTTTCTAAACACACCTTAGACACAACAGGGTAACCCCTAAATAATAATAAGTAGTATTTATATAGCGCCTTTCTCCCAGTGGGACTCAAAGCGATTTTCAGCGCACACTCTCGGAATTAACCAAATCGGCAGCTGAATAGTAATAGATGTTATTAAACGTGGACCGTTAGGGGGTACTTGAGAACTGGGTTGGGAACCACTGTATTAGAGGACAGCATGATCTTTACCAGAAGGCCGGGTTAGTTATGCCAGAACAATAGGGTAAAAGATAGCAAGCCAAATTCACTGAATTAGGAAATAATGTTCTGAAATTGAAAATGGATTACAAGGCAGAGTAGTCTTGAGAGTCTTAAAGGACCACTCCACCCACATAGATCACTTCAGCTTTATGTCTACGGAGAATCCCATTTCAACACCAGTTTATGAAAGTACCTATTTCTTAGAGATATGCAGCTTTTTTAAATAATTTGTTTGTATAATGACTACATGCTTAAATTAATGCATGTATTCAGTTGGAGTAATAAATAATGATTATTTTTTTGTAATTAGCAAGGGAAAGCTTTCCAGAAGATGCGAATGCTATTTTTAGATGAGGACCTTTCTTTTTTAAGCTTGGTTTTCCAATCTTTCTCAGCAATTGCCTGGGACTGACAATTTTGCCAGTAGTAAAGCTACTATAAGCCCAGTGGTTGTGTTGTTAAACGTTTCCTCAACGATTCAATAAAACACTGATTTTACTTAGCGTAACACTTCATATCCTGGTCATTCCCCGATAGATAAAGAAGAAAACAAAAAAGTAAATAAATCTAAAACTTACCTGTGTTCCAGGCCAAGTTCTCCCCTCAGCCCAATCATCTTACGCTGATGTCACTTCCACTATCTGCCCTGGAGGGATGTATAGGAGGACGAGCTGAATGGAGAATATGGCGGCACGGAGGGGGGTTGCCATGCCACCATCATGTTGCAAGTGCAGATGACACATGTCCAATATGCGCAGAACTGATATTAGTCTCCCAGAACTCTTATTCCAAGCTGGCTTATGCTGTCCCAATGATGGTGGAGGTACACCTCAGGCAGTAAAGGGGTTAAACTCTGTATGAGCCGCGTTTCAAACTGTAATACTGCGCACACAGACTCCAGGCACCATGACCACTTCAAATCACTGAAGTAGTCATGGTGCTTAAAGTAACCCATTAGCATGAATCCTGGGGATGGATTAAATACATGAATGGATAAGTAACTGTAATGAACGCTGGTATAGCAGATACCTGTTCATCTATTTCCTCCCAAACGGTTAGAGCTTGAGCAATTATAGCTCGCAGTTCAGGTGTTGGTTCGAATGCTTCTCCATATGAATGATAGCCTCCCAAGTAGATTCTCCCAGCAAAGTAGACAGGTACCCAAACACTTGTTTAAAGTAGATGAAGGGTGTAACAGGACTGACTTTAATGGTGCCACACTTGGCTTTTTATGCAAGTTCCATAAAACTTCCAAAGTACCCCCAAAATACATGAAATCCCCACAAATGTTACATCCCCTGATAGCCCTGATCTGGGTGACCAACATATCCAAAAATCACCCAGATCAGTTCAGGGGTTTAGAAGATTCATGGAGGTCTTAATTTGACTGACCGTACACGAAGCTCCTGCCCAGAAATCGTTCCAAGAATTTAGGTTGTGCGCTGAGTCTATTTTGGAAAGTCTGTAAACCGAACAAATCCACAAACAGTACCTCCTGGCTCATAGTAGCGTTTGTTCCCCATTTTAGTGGGAATAAAACGATCGAAAAAGTGCTCTACTGGCTGGTCGGGGGAAAAGAAGCAGGCATTTGCAAAGTTGAGTGTCCGATTTTAGTCCCAGACACTCAACAACCAAGTCCCGCTGCCTGCTTTCATGTGAAGAAGATGGTCACCGTTTTCTCCTGCACGTGGCGGTCGACAATATGAACGGCGGCCACACAGGAAGAGCACTTAATTCACTGTTCTCTTTAAAGTTAATGAGCCAGATCGGTGGTTGGTGTTCGATAGTTTCAGCTAACGAACGGAAAAATGTCCAAGTACCGAATAAACAGAGTAGTTTCTTCACAGTGACCCCTATTTATTTGGCGACATTTAAGCTCTTTAGAACCCCAGATGATAAATAGGCATCAGATAATCTCAACATTGCTACGGAATTTCACTAATTACCTGATCAAACAAGAGGGCACAGCAGAAGCTGCAGAGCACGGGAATATGCAGTAAATGCCAATTCAATATGATTATTTTTTTTTGCATGTTTTGTTAAGTGTACTATTTATATAATGAATTAAAACAAAAACAACTGGTTGCCTTCCAGCACAGAGTATCCCTTGTTCCACAACAAGCCTGCTATAAAATATTGAGTACAGTATTCTCCCATCTATTCTGTATAGCATTGGTGCTACTTGAGGATCCTCCTGCAAATATAGAAGTGATCATTATTTTATGTTATGTACAGGGTTAATATTTTGCATCCCCCCCTCGAGTGCAGATGACAGCACAGATGGAGCAGAATTAATTGGCATAAAATGGAACTGGAGGGGAAAAAAATACAGAGACAATACCTAGTGACAAGACTGGGAAAATCTCGCTACGGAGGATAAATATCTGATTAAAGTGGAAGGCTTTCCGTGTGACTTACAAGTTACACACAGTCTTCCCGATCGCCCCAAAGTCTTTACGTGTGGGTCGAAATTATTGCAGAGTCCACATTCTGGTGGAAAAAGCCTTTTTTTGTTTCAACTGAAAGAGATGCTCTGTCACACGGTGTTATCAGGATTGGAGAAAAGTGTAAACTAAACACATATTAACATCAATCCATGCTTAACTTGGTCATAATTTAATGGCATTACAGTCCATCCACCAACACCTTCTCAGCACTCACTTTAATGTATGGTTTATGGAGCTAGGAAGATATGGGAGCAGTCTTTACAGTTTTTAACCAAACAATTTTCAAGTGGTTTGGCAAAACCCTGAGCACTATCTGGCCTCCCAAAGCGCACTTCTTCAGTAGGGGGGCAACAATATTTCATATTCGTCAATATGCATCCAAAATATTTACACTGGTAAATAGAATCATTCAGAGCCAAATCTCAGCATACCCTTTTGGCTTTCAGTTTGACAAAAAAGAAAAAAACACAGAGGGGCTGCTTCTGTAGCCTTTGTGCACGATAATAAGCTGTAGTGTTCATGTAAACATAAATGCATTCTAATGAAATAGAATAGAATAATTGAAATAACAGGACTGCCACCTAGTGGTTAAATTTATATTACCTTTTAATGTAAAGTGCTTACACTTCAGTCATTACACCACTACTTATTCACTAGATTTTACAGTTACATCTAAATGGCAAAAACTGACACCAAAGCAGATGATTTGGCAAAAATTCCCAACTCAGGTATATAGCCTCAGTTTTGCGATTTGGAATTAATTTGCTTTATTTAATCAGATTAATTGTTTAAAAAAAAAAAAAAAATAGGTTTATTCACTAAATAGAAATAGTGTACACATTATTTAGAAATCAGTATTACTTCTGTCCTAGGTATCTAGAAATATATATAAAATAATGTAGTATAGAATAATATTTTAGAATAACAATACTCATTTCTTTCCCATTTTAAATCTAACAAAATTATATTATATATATATATATTTTTTTTTTTATTAAAATCTTTTTGTTTTATCCAGGAAATCGGCTAAAACCAAATAAAATCTGCTTAAAGGACCACTATAGGCACCCAGACCACTTCAGCTTAATTTA